AAGACTAACGGGTTTTTAAAAAACTTTTTTTCTTCTGAGTTTAATAGCAACACAAATATCCCAGCCCAAGACCTCTGCCTCTTCTCCTTAAGTTAGTTTGTAAGGACCCAGGGCTTCCGTCCTGTGGGAGCCCTTGGGCGCTTACAATTCCGCGTCCCCACACTGAGTGACGCGCCTTCCCCCCGAGAGAGCCTCTGTCTCCAGCCTGTGTGCAGTTCCAGGTTCGAAAGCCGCCTCCTTCCTGACAAAGGCCCCACGTCCAGGAAACGTGCCGGAGCCTTCAGGGCCCGAGGGGCAGAGGGGAAGCCCAAACCCAGACATTTACTAGGGAGGAGACTCCGTTCCTTTGCAGACCTTCTAGCAGGTTCCCTGTTAGATCTGCACTCGCAGCAGGGGAGGGGAAACAGTGGGAAGGGGAGGGGTACCATCATCCTTACTGCTAGGACATATGCCAGCTTCCCGCCAAGCCCTTAGGTGCAGACTTCATTTTCACCCAAATCTGCAGAGACGCACAGTGAGTCAGAGAAATGCAGGCAGAGGGGCCTGGCCCCACAGCGGCCCCAAGCAGCAGCTGGGGTTTCTGGCCGAGCCCTGCCCCTCTGCTCCCTGACTTCTGCCTTCTCCCTGGGGACCCAGAGCCCCACTGCCCTCTGTCCCCTGGGTTCCACGCTGCCTCCTTGGGAGCGGGCGCGCCCATCCTGACTCCTGAGAAGCAGCGGGGAGGGGAAGGTTGGGGTGTTCTACAAGGGTGGGCTGTGCATGGTGACTTTCTCCCAAAGAGTGTCGTGGCAAAAGGGAACATAGATGCACCTTTGCAATGGGGAGGCCGGCGGACACAGGCCAGCCAGGTGGTCAGGGTCACATCCGTGTGCCGTTTTGTGGGTTGTGATATCACGTGACGGAAGTGGCTTCACCTTTGTTGTCTCCCTGCGAAAGTCACCACCCCGGGCCCATCAGGATGGTGTCAGGCAAGTCCCAGTTGAGGGACATTTGACAAAACACCTGACCCGTACATCCTCTGAGGAACTGTCATGCCCAGAGGAGCCTGGGGAGATGTGATGAGTCAGCATCATGTGGAGTCCAGGGTGGTCCTGGGATGGCAGGAGGGCGTTTGGGGAAAACTGGGGAAACCTGAGTAAGGTGTAGCTTTCAGTCAGCGATAACCCAAACGTACTATTCAATGTAAGACATCCACCGCAGGGGACGCGGGGTGCAGAGTGTGTGAGAACTCTACTGGTTTTTATTTTCCTGTAAATCCACAGCTGTTTGAAAATAAAAAGTTTGCATGAAAAATAAAAGTGGATAGGAAAACTGGCTGGAATGGAGACTTCAAGTTATTCCTGCTGCTGAATGCCGACGATTCCGTGAGTCTGCAAACGGGCTCTGGGAGGAGGATGGGTGTGCATTGCTGTCACAGAAGGCGAGTGACAGATAGCTCTGGCACCCCCATTTCAGTTTTTTGACCTACATTAAACAAGCCCCACTAAGCACATTTCAGAGTATTAATTTTTCCAGTTCTTTTTATGTTCTTGACAAAGGGAGCGAGTGAAGAACTAAGGCTGAAAGGTGGGGCTAGGTCTCCAACTGTTTGGAATCAAAAGTAGAAAAGATTTCAGACCTCGCTTGACTCCCTTAATATCTGAATGGCTTTATTCTTTTCCTTTGTCTCAAAACTCACTGGATCTGACCTAGTTGGTTTATCCCAGGAATGTAAAGGTGGTTTGACATGAGAAGGGGAAATTACCAGATGGAAGGGGAAATTATTTAATAATATGAATTGATACAGAAAAGCTTAACCAAATGAAGTGACACATGTATGATTTTAAGCTAGTCTTGACAAGGTGGGTGTACAGGGTCTTCCTTTTTTTGTCAGAAACCTGCAGCAGGCACCGCGCTCACGGGGAACCAGGGACAACGTTCCCGGTGGGACCGGGAAGCCGACAGGGCTGTCCCCTTTCACTGGTTTTGTTCAGTAACGTACCGCGGGTCTCAGCCAGTAGAATAAGGCAAGAAAAAAGAATTAAAGGCACCTGGTCTGGAAGGGAGGAACAGACTCATCACCAGAGGTGACGTGATTCCACATGTGGACAGTTCAGAATAACCAGCTAAATGAGTAGAATGAACGTGAGCTTAGCAAGACGCTATAGTTCAAAGCCAGTCTGCAACAGAAATTGAAATTGAAAATCCTGTATGTAGTACTTAAAATATCAAGTATCTGGTAGTAAATCTAAAGATGTTCAAGATCACTACACTCAAAACTCCGAAGCGTTTTTGAGAGAAATGAAGTGCTGTTCCACGTTCATGGACTGGGAGACATAATATTGTTGAGATTCTGTTCTCCCCAGATTCTAGGTACAGTGCAGTCCCAGTCAGTTTCTTTCTCGTTTTCCTTTTTTAATGGGGTGTGGGACTTCATAAGCTGACCCTAACGGTTATGTTGGGTGAAGGTCCAGGATGGCCCAGGACGATTTTGAAGAAGGCAGAGATTCTTCCTTGTCGAATGTTAAGAACGACTGTCAAGTTATGGCAGTTCGTGTGACTGTTGGCACAGGGATGAACAAACTGGCCGAAAAGGCAGAGGTCTGTCTCGTAGCAGAACTAGTATTGCTGATGAGCAGGTAGAGGAAGACGTCCTAGTAACGGCGATGAGGCGCTTGGCTGTTCTCATGGGAAAGAAGCCAAAACATCAAAAGCCTGCTTTATGTCATATAAAGAAATCAATACCAGAGCGAGGAGAGACTTACACGTAAAAGGGAAACCACAAACTTTCAGATGACAATACGGGAAAATATGTCTGCAGCCTCCCGGTGGGGGAGAACTTCTTCAACCTGACACCAAAAGCGAAAGCTTTGAAAGAAAGACCGATAAACGTGACCTTAGAGAAGGAAGCCGTAGTCTCTGACAGGCTGTCGGCAACATGTGACTGGTAGAGGGGTGCTGGTCACGGCTTTTAAAGAATTCTCCTGAATCGGGGAGAAAAAGGCAAATGACCCGGTTTTTTTCAAAGGGCAAAAGGCGAATTCAGAACAGCGCATAAACGTGTGAAAGATGCTCTGTGTCATTGGTCCTCGGAGCAGACGAACCTTCATGAAATAGCCGTCATTCCCACCAGGGCAGGGTGTGGGGTAGTGTGGGGAGCGGGCAGGAGGCTCTCTCCCAGTTGTGACCATCACACACTCCCATGCTCCTCCCTCCCCATCTCTTATAACCATCTGTATGTGTTTCATATACTGCTTTTATTAGTCCAAGAAATGCAATCCCTTATTGGCACTAAGATGGAGATCCTCTTTAATTATGTACATTAGGGAAGGGGTTGAGCCCTTTTATTCAGGTCTGTAGTTTCGGCTTTATTTTTCTGTCCTGTAGATTGTGGGTGTTGTCATGGAAATGGCTGCAGTATCCACATCACGCCGGTGGACTGTGTGAGGCCTGGCCCGCCTGCTCTGGGCAGGGGGGGGGGGTTCAGTCATCCCCGGGG